ATTGACATAACAGCTCAACATGACATCCACTCACTGTACAAGATGTATTTTATCTAAATTAAACGTTAATGTCGGTTTTATTACGGTGTAGAAAGAGTCGCTGTGTTGTTTCCTCTGTTTGCACCGGCACTACTTTACCTACACTGCAAAAAGTGAGGGAAAATAGGTCAAAATCTGGTCAAATTTGGCAAAATGTGTCTTAATTTGAGCACATTCTGACTGTATTAAAACTAGATTATCCAATGAGACAAAGTAAAATGTATCTTGTTTATCTTCTAAAATGTCTCACTTGGAACGAGAAAATAAACAGTTCTTGAAATAAGGCTAAATAGCTTTGCCCCGTTGTAAAATCTTGTTTCAGTCAGAATGTGCCCAGATTAAGATAAAAACCACTCAATTTAAGCATTTATTACCTAATTTTTAAATGTAAAAAACTGTTTATAAATGTCCTTAATGTCCTAAATATCCTGGCTTCAAATTGACCTGCAAATGTGATGAAAAGAAGAAGAAAAATACCCTAAATATTGTCTTTTTGAGCTGAATTTTGAGGACTTTTCCTGACATGAGAACCAGGACGAGACCAGGACGATACCAGGACTAAGCCAGTATAAAAACAGGATTAAACCTGGACTAGACTAGGACGATACCAGGACTAAACCACAATAAAAACAGGACTTAACCTGGACTAGACTAGGACGATACTAGGACTAAATCAGTATAAAAACAGGACTTAACCTGGACTAGACCAGGACGATACTAGGACTAAATCAGTATAAAAACAGGACTTAACCTGGACTAGACTAGGACGATACTAGGACTAAATCAGTATAAAAACAGGACTTAACCTGGACTAGACCAGGACGATACCAGGACTAAACTAGTATAAAACAGGACTAAATCTGGACTAGACAAGGACTAGACTGGGGCTAAACCTGTATAAAAACAGGACTAAGCCTGGACTAGACCAGGACGATACCAGGACTAAATAAGTAAAAAAACAGGACTAAACCTGGACTAGACTGGGGCTAAACCAGGACTGACCTTTTTAGAGTCTAATTTAGTGTATTTTTCTTTTTCAATGTCCCGGTACATCCCTGTTTTTAGACCCAAAAACAAAAACGCAGTGGGGAAAAAAGTGAGAAACCTCAGGTAGATCCAGGACTCAGGCTGTAGAACGAGTACAGACGGAATCTTTCACCTGCATTTCACAGCCTCATGTGGCCAGATACATTTACAAAGCCGGCCCTGTACGTACAACAGTTTGGTCTGCCTCTGTCCAGGGCTTTCAAAAAAAAAAAAAAAAAGTGACTCTTATATAAATAACTTATCTCCTCCTGATGAGACGAGACAAACCTAGCGCCGCATAACTCTAAATCACATCGACACGGAGCAGAGATGCCACACTTGTTTTGATGAACCGTGTCTCTCCAACGCTCCTCTGGGCTTTCCCTGAGAGTGTGCGGCGAAGGGCAGAGCAGTGACAAGTGCGAGAAGGGGAAAAATAAAATAAAATAAAACAGAACGCACGCAGACTGACACCTGCCGTAATAGACTATGGCTGGATTCGTCTGGGGAGAGAAACTCGCCTTGTTTTGTCGCCGTGATATTTCCCCCCTCTCTCCTCGCACCTATACGCTCTCTTTGTTAGCGCCGGCTGCTTTCGTCAACTCCCCCGGCTTTATTTATTATTAACTAAGGTCTTGACACTGCCTTTTCCTCCAGCTGTCAGTCAGAAGAAATAATAAATTCGCCCCAAAAAATCCTGACAAATGGTTCAGGACTTTCCGAGGCACTTGTTGAAGGCGGAGGATTATAATTGGTGAGTTTGCATGAAAGGATAGAGAAGCCGTGTATAGTAGTCACACATGCATTTTAATGACAAATGTAGAGGTCTGGATCATGCATTTTTGACGAGGGGACGGAGGACTATACGAGACATGATTAGAGGCTAAAGTTTAACAGGTGAACTTTTGGAAAAACTCAAATTGAAAGTGAAATTTGTCAAAAGTGTGACATGTCAAAGTGTGAGATTTCAGTACAGTTTTAAACAGGACATAAATATATTTAGACACATTTTCACAGCTTTTGACTATGTTGTTTTTGGACTAAACAGGGATTAAAACAGGACTAGAGTATAGGACTAAACAGGACTTGACCAGGACCAGAACAGTCCAGGATCAGTCCAGGATCAGTCCAGGACCAGACCAGGACTAAACCTGGACCAGACAAGGGCTAGAGCGGGGCTAGAGCGGGGCTAGAGCGGGGCTAGAGCGGGGCTAGAGCGGGGCAAGACCAGGACTATACCAGTCAAAAGTGTGAGATTTCAATACAGTTTTAAAGAGGACATATATATAGACATATTTTGTTGTTGTTGTTTTTGGACTAAACAAGGACTAAAAGAGGACTAGACCAGGACTAGACCAGGACTGAACCAGGACCAGACCAGGACTAGACCAGGACTGAACCAGGACCAGACCAGGACTAGACCAGGACCCGACCACGACAAGAGCAGGAGTAGACCAGGACTAGACCAGGACCAGACCATGACCAGAGCAGGACTAGACTATGCTAAACAGGACTAAACCAGACAAAAGTATGACATGTCAAACTGTGAGATTTTAACACAGTTTTAAAGAGGACAAATATAGAGACGTATTTTCACAGCTTTTGACTATGTTGCTGTTTTTTTGTCATTTAAACCAGTGTTTCCCAGCTGCGGGACCAGGACTCAACCAGGACTTAACCAGGACTAGACCCTAACCCTAACCCCTAGAGGTACATGCAGGTATTACAAGAGGTGCTTAAAATGATTTTCAGTTATACATCAATTTCTCTGTTAGGAAAACCGGAGCACCCGGAGGAAATGGGAGGAGGATATGCAAACTCCACAGGGAAAGATCTGGGACATTTACGGACATTGGACGAGCCCAGGACGCAACAAGACCAGGACCAGACCAGGACCAGACCAGGACCAGACCAGACCAGACAGACAAGGACTAGACCAGGACCAGACCAGAACCAGAGAAGGACCAGACCAGGACCAGACCAGGACCAGACCAGACCAGACAGACAAGGACTAGACCAGGACCAGACCAGAACCAGAGAAGGACCAGACCAGGATTAGACCAGAACCAGACCAGGACCAGACCAGGACTAGACCAGTACCAGACCAGGACCAGAGAAGGACCAGACCAGGACTAAACAGGACTAAACTAGGACTAGACCAGGACTATACCAGGACTAAACCAGGACTAATCCAGGACTAAACCAGGACAAAACCAGGACAAAACCAGGACTAGACCAGAACTAGACCAGAATTAGACCAGGACTAAACCAGGACATGACCAAGACTAAATCGTAGTGTTGCATAATTTAATGTTATTGCACATGTATCGTATGGATTTTCTTGCCCATTCAGAAGGTTCTATGAACAGGCCATGGCAGAACATTGGTTTTCCCACTATCCAAAAGACTTTTACCGCTGTATTTTTTATTTCAATTTGTATTTTCTGCCTTTTGAGATAACTGCTAATTGGTATATAAATAAATATTACTTACTTACTAATTCATGAAAACACAAAAAAGTAATTGATTTGAGCAACTACGCCTCAAAATCTTCACACGTCTCCTCTGAAACTGCTTCCTCAGCCGTAATAGTCGACTCCAATTTTCTCCAAGCACAATTTCCCTGTGTCGTCCGTCCCTGTGCTCCCACTACAGGTCCCCGGGGGCCCCTCTCCTTGCAGCTGTCTCTCCCATCGCAGCCTCCTGTTGTCTACTGCCGCTAACAAACCCCTCCCAAAAAACCACCTCTTTATCCTTGATGTTTCCGTCCCTTTGTTTTCGTTTGTGCTTTTTTGACGCCCAGTTCCTTGTTCTACAGGGAGCCTCCTCTCTGCTCCGGCTTGAAGAGACCGTGTGGGTTGTTAAACTTTTCAAAGTCTTCCCTGCTTCACCTTTTCTCCTATTTACGGACTTTGCCTTCAGCGATGTATAAATGCTACTTTTGATACTGGCTTCCTACCTCTTTGTGCCCATGGACTTACCTAACACTGCTTCTCTTTCATATTGATATAAAAGGTAGAAGTTTTGATGCTCGGCCGTTCGTATACATTGTCTATTTCCATTAAATGATCAGAGCTCGAAAGGTCGGAGACATGGAATGATTTGCACAAAGTTGTAACATTGACAAACTTTTTGTTTCTTTGTTTGTGGCTCAGAGAAAAGACTTTAAAAAGCAGATCTCGCCACAGCCTCGCACCAAGGTACATCTGTGACGTGTTAAGGCCATATGAACCAACTGGGAAGTCTGAGGAGCACAGGGACTGGCCTCCTGCTGGGATTTGGAGGAGCACAGGGACTGGCCTCCTGCTGGGACTCGGAGGAGCACAGGGACTGGCCTCCTGCTGGGATTTGGAGGAGCACAGGGACTGGCCTCCTGCTGGGACTCGGAGGAGCACAGGGACTGGTTTCCTGCTGGTGACTCTGAGTAGCACAGGGACTGGCCCCCTGCTGGGACTCGGAGGAGCACAGGGACTGGTCTCCTGCTGGTGACTCTGAGTAGCACAGGGACTGGTCTCCTGCTGGTGACTCCGAGTAGCACAGGGACTGGTCTCCTGCTGGTGCCCAGAGTCAGGACTAAACATGGGGGGGGCAGCGTTTCAAATTCAGTCTTCCTGAAAATGTGAGACAGGCCTCTACTCTGACAATGTTCAAATCCAGGTTAAAGACAGTTCTGTGTCTTAGTTCTGCTTCACTCCTTTTAATGTATTATCATTTATTGCTATACTATTGCTATTTACACTATTCTATGCTATTATTGGTGCTATACAACCAAACTTGCTAAACCTCGCCTTCTTTCAGTCCTTTGTGGTCCAGAAAATCCTGATCCGGGAAGACATTTGGACAAGACATTTTGCCTTTTAGCAGTGAATAAAATATGAATGCTAAAATGCTAAAATGCTAAAATGCTAGCACACAGCAGTAGTCTCTGGTCTTACTTTGTCGAGGTAAGTGTAGCTCCAGATCTTTCCGTCGGCGAACACTCGAGAGATGATGCGTCCCTGGTTGTCGTACTCCCATTTCTCGGTGGTGGGGCCCCTCTGCAGCCCGGTCACCTGACCCGTGCTGTCCAATCACAAGAGACACGAGTCAAATATAACTAGAAATATTAGAATCAGAATCATTTTTATTGCCACGTAAGTAACAGGAAGTCACAGACTTGGAAATTGCTTTGGCTCAGTGCAACAGTCAGAAAGAGATAATAAAAATAAAGAACAAAAAACACACTAAGGAATAAATTTAAATTTAAAATAGAGTTACAGTTACTATTTACAATATACAAGTGCACATGGTGCACACAATGTAAGGTGACAGCAATTAGCAATTAGCAATTAGTTGTGTTTATGTGTGGAAACTGCTTGTCATCTCTGTCTTCAGTTCTGTCTCACATTACACAACAAGAATTCTGAAAATCCTAGGTCTACCACAGCAGTCATTTTGACATTGACTGCAGTTAAAGTCAATGGATTTTTTTTCTTTTACATTTACTCGCTTTTACTAAGAGCTAAAACAGTTTTTTTTTTTTTTTAAATGCTAAATGCTAACTGCTAACAGTAAACGGTGCGTTGCTATGGTAACTAGCACTGGCTCCAAGCTGAACCAGATCCAGAACCAGCCCCTTGAGAAAAAAAGGGGCTCTAACTGCCACATAATGTTGAATTTTCCCCTCATATTAATCAAGTAGTTGATATGACTTCTCTGGGAGTTAAAGGTAGAAGTACTCGCATTTAAAAAACAAACAATAATTTAGTAAAAGTCACTACATAGAAGTAAAATACTAATTGAGACAGAAACGTACGTGAGCAGAATCATTACACTTCCAAACCTAACACCCGTCAAATTGCCTGCTGTGGGAGTTGCTGCTGTACCTGGAGTAGGTGAGGTTGACGGGGAGGAGCTTGCTGCTGGGGGCCCAGAGTGTGGGGTGGCCCTGTGTGTCGTAGATGATCTTGAGGAGAAACTTCCGGTGGTCGTCGTAGATCTTCTCCGTCCTCAGCGAGCGGTCGTAATCCACAGACAACAGGTTTCTGCCGTTCACCTGGAAACACACAAAACACACACAACACATTCAGTTAATTCAGTTATACAAAAACACACAAGAAACAATAATAAGGTCATTGAATGTATTTCCAGGTCTCTCAGAATGTTCTATAAGTGCAAGACAGTGGAGTTTACTAGTTTTCTGTTAGAACTTTCTGTCTTAGTGCGATATTGAGAAGACATTTGTCCCTTTTCTGTCTTATTGCTGTGGACTGTCTAAGTATAAAAGATGCTGTGTGATCTCAAAGTGCGAGGTCCGTCAAAGCGCTGAAGATAAATGATGAGGTAGGGAGAAAGAGCTGCCTTGTAGATAGTGGTAGAAGTAGGCCACACCAACCCGAGCATACGTTCACGGTTCACACACACACAGATAAATGTAGTCTTTGGGATTTCCGAATAGTGTCAATTTCTCAATAATAATAAAACAATAATAATGCGCTGTATTGGTTTTATACAGCGCTTTTTTGGACGCTCAAAGACACTTCACATGTAATTATTCATTCATTCCATACACGGTGATGATAAAGTACTACTGTAGCCATAGCTGCCCTGGGGCTGTGCCATCAGCCCCTCCCACCACCACCAACCATTCACGCACACACCAGACTCACTCTAGAATATTTCGGTGAAGTGTCTTGCCTAAGGACACAACCACAGTTTGGCACTTTACAGCCGCAGCAGTCCCACTGTGGCACCTGCTGTTCCCAGAGGTCTCCCATCACAGCACTAACCATACCCTACCCTGCATAGCTTCAGAAATCTGTCTGGATTCTGGCTTTCACCTGCAAATATGTCCAATTCAATTCAATTCAATGTTTTCTTGTATAGCCCTAAATCACAACAGTAGTTTTCTTGACTTTTACAAAATTGATTTTGCCAACACAGATTAGAGAATCAAACACAAGAAATGCAATGAGAGAAAACACAGAGACGCAGATGACCAATGTCCATAAATGTTAATGAATGTCCATAAATGTTGATACAGTAGATGTCGCTGCATGTCCTCACAAAGCATGCACGTGCTATGCTAACGTCCTCACACACCACCAGAGGCTGCTAGCGAAACACACAGCACTAGAAGCGGCTGTATATAGACCTAATCAAAGTTTTATTTATGACACTAGAGAAGGTCCAACACACACAGTGGCGCCGCAGTAAATCGCAGAACGGGATCAGCTAAACAAACATGCTTTATCCTCGCTCCCATCGCACTTACGAACCTCCAGCTCTACATTACATCTGCTGCTGCGGACTTCGCCGGCAATCTGCACCGCTCTTTCTACATTACCGCCGATTTATGAAGACCGATGGTTGGAGGTCCGGAGAGCAGGGGAGGAGAATTATGACACGCTTCAAAATCAATTGTTTTGGTTTCCATTAAAGTTAAGAGTGTTGCTGGAAAGAGATCAAAAAGTCCGGTTTGTAAATGTTGTGAGGGGCACAGGCGATGGGCGTATTCGGTGGCTCTGGTCCAGTTGGCTCCGGTCTGACGGAGAGTAGAGAGAGTCAAGAGGATAACACCGGCCATGTTGTTTTTTATTGTTGATATAGACAGCTTTCTGCAGCGGAGGACTGCTCTGTAACTAAGCAAATGCACCACTACTATTTCAACTCTTTCATACCCCCATACCCTCATGTAAGTAGTAAGTAAGTAAGTAAGTAATTATTTATATACCGCCTTTTCACTGCAGAGCTGAGTCTCAAAGCGGTTTACAATTGTTATTTTTTATTTTATTTTTTTTGGGCATTTATTTCTCACTCCACACAGAGATGGGAGCGGGGCCAGTACAGGAGGCACATGCCAGAACTATTTTACATATTTTTAGCGGTAGGGGAAACCGGAGTACCCGGAGTAAACCTACGCAGACACGGGGAGAACATGCAAACTCAGAAAGGCCCTGGTCCGACCGGGATTCGAACCCAGGACCTTCTTGCTGAGAGGCGAGAGTGCTATCCACTCAGCCACCGTGCCGCCCATGCTAACAGATGTACACATACAAATACGTATTCTTGCACAGGATTTTAAACATGCTTCTTTATTATGCTAACGCTAGAGATTTTATTCTTGGTAAGTATGGCAACTTGAGCACTATCCTCTCCCCTCCAACATTATGACGTCAGTTGTAGTCTGTTCCTTGCTATTCACCCGCTGCCCCCTTGACTGTTTCATGGCTTGATTCTGGCCTCTTTCACCTGGGAGCCTACTCAGTCCTGCCCTAAACAGCCTCAGTCCTCGTTCTACAGTTTGAGTCCTGGGTCAGATAGAGGGTTAGCATTGTCCATCTCTATACAATGCACAAAACAGACAAAAAGTGGAACCCTGGAGATAGAGGAATTCACTATAGGAAAATATGTACAAAAAAATACATGTCTGTGGGAAGCCAGGTCCCTGTATAGAAAGTGTCTGTGTTTCAGGAGTTCAAGTAAAAGTCCTGCTATACTTTGGCGCTTAAATATATTGTTTTTAAAATCATTTCTTTGGCTTGAAATCCAATTTGCGAGCACACACTCCGGCTCCACCATTTGTAAGCTTGCAGATGCAGCTAAAGTTTGTATGGATGGTGATTGTGCGACTGTGGCTTGGTTTCAAGTTGGCGCGTACACACACACACACACACACATACACACACAGACACACACACACACACACACACACACTGGCAGCTTGCATTGGGGTTGAGGCCCAAACCAATCTGTGCTCTCGCTCCCGGTTTGAGCCACGGAGAGAAAAAGTTTGTGAAGCTAAACACTCAGAAAAGACAAGAGAAGAAGCAAGTGCAGATTTCCCACTGGACGCACACAGACGATTGTAATTATACTTGAACCAGAATGTTTATGGTACGCAGAATTGTTTCGATGAGACATGGTTTGCTATATCTTTGAATTTTAACCATGTTACAATACTTGAAGCTCACCAAAAACTCTGCTTGTTTAGCTGTATCCATGCTAACACTGCAAAAAAAATGATACAATATGGGGTACGTTTTTATCTTAATCCGACACATTCTGACTTAAAACGAGATTCTCCAATGGGACAAAGCCATTTCAAAAACATTATTTTCTCATTCCAAGGGAGACATTTCTTATATCTTTTAAAACAAGATCATTTAGCTTTGTCCCATTGGCAAATCTTGTTTTAAGGCTCAGTCATAAAATGCTCAAATTAAGATTAATTTGGCCAAAATTGAGAAATGTTTGAGTTATCATTAAACACTTTTTGCAGTGAACACGTCCCTATTATCGCTGATGTGAGGCTCCTTGGAAACACTGACAAATATTTATACTATTTGATTATGTGCAGAGCTGTTTTGTATCATTTAAAACAAAAGTATCTGTTCAAATAAGGTTTATTTTCTCGCTGTACCTGTCGGTGCATGTCTCCACTGCAGGAACCTCCCCACAGGCCCATTTAGAGGAACTTTTACGAGGCCCAACGGTGTCACTCCTCCATGCTAGGTACTCCAGTTGGGCCCTGGTGGGACTTGAGGTTAACCCGGCGGTGATTGGCTAAAGCTAGCGCAACAGTCTTCCTGAAAATGTGAGACAGGCTTTTTCTCTGACAATGTTCAAACCCAGGTTAAAAACACTTCTGTTTATATCTGTGCAAACACGTGAAGGATCTACGAGTTTAAAGTGTCTTGTTTTGTTAAGCACTTGGAGTTGCCTTGTGTATGAACTGTGCTATACAAAAACCTTGCCTTGTACAGCACAGGGATTTTTACACACAATACAATCCTTCCGCCGACACAGCCTCTTGTTTATCAGATTCATTCAGGTGCGAGCAAAAAGCAGAAAGAAAAATGTGAAATGGGGACGCTATAAAGAAACAATGCTATTATTTTTTGTCCGCAAAGAACCGCTGTCGACAAAAAAAAAACACATCTCGGCATCACTTGCGATTCTCAAACTTTTAATAACAACATTTTCAGAGTTCTCCGCATGCGTCTCACTCAACAATGGCTAATACACCAATTTAAAAAACACAAAGGCTTTACTTTTCCTGCCGCTCAATGTCCCTGTCGATGTCAGAGAAACAGAATCGTGTTTATCTTTCTCGTCCTGTTTCTGCTCAAGGTCGTGTGGCTCTAACTTATTTGGTCCACTTTACTTCATTACATTAGCCATCTCGTCGTTTGAGTGGAGGGTTTGAAAAGAGGCTGTCGTCAGGGTCGGATCTGTGTGCCGCGGTTTTGTCCGTCAGGCTGCCAAAAGTGGTTGTAATCTGTCTGTTTACATACGCAGAGATAGTGGGATGCCAGTTTTTATCATTAGTTTAATAGGAAAAGGTTTTAAAATAGGCAAAACATACATTGTTCTGGAGGTTCTTTATGATTCCAGACTCTTACAAAGGCAAAAAGGTGGAACCCTAGAGTTGTATAGGAGATAAAGGACCAGTCAAATCAATAAGAACATTCAATATAGCCAAAAAATTAACAAAAAAGTCCAAGTGCACGTTTGTGGGAAGCCAGGTCGCTGTATAGAAAGTGTCTGTGTTTCAGGAGTACAAGAAGAGGCGTATTGTGCAAAAAAGACATTGTTCTGGAGGTTCTTTATGACTCCAGACTCTTAATAATAACGCCTGACTCTTCTGGCCCCTGGAAAAAAGGCATGTTCCAGCTTCTTCCCTCTGGCAGAAGATATTGTTCACTGAAATGCAGGACAGCTGGAGATGCTAACATGCTAACAGCTTCTTTCCACAAGCTGTTATCAGTTCAAGTAGAAGTCAGTTGAACAGAGCACTTTAAGGATCTTGCACTTGTACTGAAGATGTTTTGTTTATGTATTTCAAAGTGACTATTGTTTTTAGAACTTTTTTAGCTTGTTTAATGTATGTATTTGTCTGGTGCACACTGGGAAACTTGCACATGTATTCCAATGTGGTTTTACTGCAAATGACAACAGTAATGCACAAGGCTGTACTTTTCCACAACTTATTTTGGTTATCTCAAGGCCAAGCTACCGGCACTGTGGCAAATGCTTATTGAAGGTCTCCATTCC